TTCATTGAAAGGGAATATTCTCGGTTCCATATCTTTTGGAAATCCTCTTAGTGCAGTCTTGTCTGAAAGTGAAAAGAACATCGATCTCAAGTTCTTGGCCATATCAGAACCAGCAGTACTTACTGGTCTGCAATATTATTTTTTAGGTTGGCTACAATGTTGTAACTTCCAGGCGGCGCAATGTCGGTAAGGTGAGTTTATCTGGTCTCTGAGAGAGGTAATCTGAGTGAATTTCATTTTCTCATTTGCATTTGAACAGTTAACTTAATTTTGATGTTCTTAAGCTACATTTTTTTATTATCTACTAGGTGCGTGGCTTCACTTTTAACATTAACTCAGGTGTTTTGGAGTCTCTTGAGCTCGATTCATTTGGGCTTACCATTGTCCCTGTTAGTCTGGTAATTTGGTTGGACACCTACCTGTCATCTTATAGGGCATATAAATCCATTGATTATGTCTCAGTATACCACTTATTCTTTACAGGTAAGCACGTACTGTTTATTTGTGGAAGATGTGCTTGATATAGTTTCTGATACAATCGTGGTGCATGAAGATGCAATCTCTCGTGTTCAACGGTTAACACAGGTAAGCATTACTGATTGTTTCTTGATAGAACCACTATTGGACTTAAAAGTACCGATTGCGTGGAGACCAAATCGTAATCGAAGCAACAACCTTGTTGAGTGAAAAATATTCTTAACTGAATGGTAGGGCATCTGGGGCACCCAAAATATGCAAGGACCTGGCGATCAGATAGGCGAGTACAACAGATATGGAAGGCGAAGAGCTAGGTCTGTTAAGAGACAAAATAGCCAGGGTAAGCCCATGGGCCGAAAGCTCCATAGGAAAACGCGGGATCCGGAGGATGAGTGGGAACTGCCAATGGAGTATTGACACACGCACACGCAACACGCTCTCTTCCCGTCCTCAGAGAAGAAGTGCTGTCCCACTGTTCTAGTTAGTGCTCAGCTACAATAGGATATGTCAGTTTTTTTTCTACATTATTGGAAGACCACGAATAGGAAAGGAAATAGTTTGGCCATCTTGGGCGTGCTTTGGCTTGGTGGGTTAGTAAAAAGCGAGTATGTCTGCCGACTTCCGACGTCCTAATTATGGTACAAAATGATTCATTTGTGGTGAGTTCATTTCTCATGTAATGATGAGGCTTCTTTTGACTTCACTGACACTCAACGACTGAAGTGTATATGCGTGTAATCATGTTGTGATGTACTACTACCACCGGAGACTGGACTAGTACTGCTTAGATTAGTATACCTCTAGCCAGAATGTCAAGGTTCCTGCTATATTTGTACAAAAGGAAAAAAAAACAACAGCTTGGTTTCTGAAAGGGAGGTCTGTGGCTACTTCAACCACTGATATGATTTTTCTCTTTTCTGTTCCTCTAAACTAGTGAAGCTGCGAGACCCTGTGGTTGACCGACTCACCTTTAGGCTGTAGCATGTTGCGTACTGACCGCAGACCCTCAGCCGAACCTGGAGTAGAATTTTAGCATCCGGCGACCTACCCAGTACGTATCTGCGTGTGCGTGTCCCTACGAGCACGTACTACTTTTTTGTTTCATTCTCGGCACCGGATCGATGCATTGTATGACAGCGTTGACACATTTATCGGCACCAGACTCTGCTGGCCATATTTATGGTTCTGACATCTGCAACAGCTCAACCCATCAAAGATCACTCATCATCACTGCTCAGACAGTGCTGCTGCTTGAGCCGTTCGCTGGATCCATGGCGGTTTTCGCGGATCCATGGAATCACTCGCCGCGTACCGGTGGGCTCTATCCAAGGTAGAAAGAGCTGCTGCGCACGGCGTCTCGTGTGGCACTCTTTGTGCCATTTCGCTTTTAAATCTTCCGTCGAGTTGCGTTTCTTTTTTTGTTTTTAGAAAAAGGTATCGTCTATTTTGATTTGGGCAGCATCGGTTAGTGACGACCAAGGACAAAGATGAGAAACATCATCAAACGGACAACGGTATGTGGGGTCTCAGTTCTGGAAGTAGCCGTCCATATGATCTGAGCTCATCTACCTACACCCTGGCTTCTCACCTACCTCCGGATTTCTCCTCAACCATATCAGTCGGTCACGGCAGGGTCGCAGTGTCCTTTTCATTAACGGCCAACCAAATCGCCTGTACAGAAAAAAAAACACAGTGCTCTGTGTTGCACGTCGTTTGAAATCTGCATCGACATATGGGGGTGCCCTGCTCCCCCGAAGGTACATGTGTTTGCGTGGAGAATTGTTACCAACTCCCTTGCCACTTGGGCCAACAAGTGCTCTAGACGACTTGAGGTGACTGATATTTGTCCCCTATGTGGTATGGAACGAGAGGATTGCTTCCATGCTCTGTGTAGGTGCACCCTAGCGAAGGAGTTGTGGCATGCCATGGCTAGGGACTGGAATATCTCAAGAGTGGAGGAGGTGGTGAACACGGGGTCGGAGTGGCTCTTCTCACTCCTGGAGCCGCTTGATGAGGACACACGCATGATTGTCCTGATGACGTTGTGGCGTGTATGGCACGTCCGCAACGAGATCACCCACGAGAAGAAGCCTCCACCAACCGAAGCATCCAGGCGATTCCTCCAGGGCTACATCAACTCCTTGCTGTGCATCAAGCAACACCCTAAAGCTGACATGGAGAAGGGGAAGATGGTCGTCCTAGGGCCTCAGCAGTGCTCCGCTGCTCGTGCGGCTCCGAAGGAGGACAGGAGATGGATACCACCTGGGAGGGCGAGCACCAAACTGAACACCGACGGGAGCTATGTCCCGGCGACAGGCGCATCAGGTGGAGGGATGATCCTCCGTGATGATCCTCCGTGATGATCTTGGGCAGATCATCTTCACGACATGCAGGGAGCTCCGAACATGTGATAACGCCCTTGCAGCTGAACTTGAGGCGTGTAAGGAGGGGCTGGACTTGGCGCTGCACAGGACCGACCGGCCGACCGTCGTCGAGATGGACTCTTTGGAGGCGGTGGCCATGTGCACGGCCGCTTCGATTGATCGCTCTGTCCATCGCAATTTCGTGCAGGATATCAAAAGACTGACGACGACGGAGGGACGGAAGGTCCATTTTTCTCATCGTAGTCGTTCTCAGAATAAAGTAAGTCATGAACTTGCGTCTTATGGTCGTCGCACCCCCGTATTGCTGTATGGTTCCATTCAGGAACGGATGCCGTTGTAAACTTGGTGATGGCTGAATTGCCACCTTAAATAATGAGAATTTCTATTTTCCGCAAAAAAAAATCTTATGGCTGTGACAATCGTGTAGAGTAAGAAACTGCGTCGCATGGACCGAGTAGCATTTTCAACTCCTTCCAAGTCCATAGAGTGAGAAGCACGCCATATCATACCATCACAAGAGCGAGTATCCAATGTGTCATGACGCAACACAGAACCATAAGGGGAAACCCCAAAAGAAGAGCAATAAGCCTGGCCACAGTGGGAGTATCTTAGCTAGTATCATACACGTGAAAATAGCAAACACGTTGATGTGGTAAAGAATTTAAAAAGAAAGAGAGGATTAGAGTAACATAGATAAATATTGTATCATATTAAATGTATGCTACTTTGTGTCGTGAATGGTAATAAATAAAATAATTTATGATACTATGCATTATGAAGGTAGGATCGTACATTTTTCCTAAAAAAAAGAAGATAGCATTATATATTATTATTATATACATGATACTAGTATATAATACTCTCCACTATGAGTAGCTTAAAACCCTGCTTACCCTTTTGCTTTGGCATGTAACAAGTTTAATCATGAAGTGTCAACTATCTAGAGCAAGCATAATTGCATACATTGTGTTGAAACTAGAATGCGAAGAGAGACTGTACTTGTGCGAGTCAGTTTTGAGGGAAATAAGAGCATTTACAGCCGGGCGCCCCAAACTGATCGGGTGGACGGCGTGCTTAGTGCCCGGTCACTCAGATGGCTCCTCACATCAGTCCTATATATTTGGACAGGCCGACACCCCGTATATCCAGCTCAAATCTAGAGCGGATATGGTAGGCTTGGGCGCGTTCGCTCGCCGGTCTAGCCCAGCCTGACACTACAAAAAGCCCCCTTCAAACGAACCCTAGATCGAAGTCGGCCAGTCCACTCCTCTCTCTCTCTTTCTCATTTTTAGAAAAGGAGGATGACTCCCGGCCTCTGCATCTAGGCGATGCATACGGCCATTTTACTAACTATTCTCATAAGACCTTATAAAGCCAAACAACAGCAAGACTAAAACCACCGTCTAAGCAATAACTGTTGCTACACCTATCCAATTGATGAAGGGACGTAGATAGTCTGGGCCTAATACGAAACAGATATCGCAGGCAAACCTAAACATCTAAGACCTGAGGTCCCAACCAGGACGCCTGCCTGGTATGGGGCACCTACCAGTCCGGCGCACTCCTCAACCAGGACGTCTGCCGGGTATGAGGCCGCCGCAACCACCTGCCACCAATCCATCTTCAGAGTTGTATTGTTGCATGTACCGTGCCAGGTCTCTCTGTCATCGACGCCACCACGACGCCCGACAGCATCATCCTCCTGCGCGAGTCCATCCTCCCACAGCAAACTCTGAATCTGCACTGCACCACGCCATCAAGATCCGTCGCCATCAGTGTGTAGGATGAATCACCGCTCCACCAAAGAATCCATCCTCTGGTCCCTTAATCACGTGTGTATCTCCAAGAATGACGCCCCCAAGGGAGGAACGACACCAGAGCGCCGCCGTCATCCGATCTAGGGTTTCCCTCGGAGGTAGCAGAGAGTAGCCTTGAACTTCTCCACGGCGATGTCTTCAAGAAGGGAACGACACAGATAGCGCCGCCACCGCCGGCCTTAGCAGACGCCGAAGGCAAGTTTTCACCCAGATTAGTTCGAACGGATCCAACTCTCGTGCATGGGCCACCGTCACCACCAGCACCACCAGGCAGAACCCTGGAGCACCGACAGATCAGCGAGCCGCCGGCACCACCGCATCCAGATCGCCGGCCACGCCGGGTCGCCACCATCCCCCGCATCGTCCGGGTCAGAGACGAAGCCGCCGGCCGCGCACATGGACCACCGTGGCTTGCACACGCCGGAGCGCCGCCGAGAGCCCAGCGCCCGCCATCGCTTGCCAAGGGCTGCCGCCGCGCGCCCCGAGCGGACTCCCACACACACCAGGGGAAATCGCGAGCGTGAGCCCTGCCGTCGCCCCCAAACCCGCGCCGGCGCGCCCCGCCTCCAGCGCGCCGCCAACAACCGCCGCGATCCGCCCGCGCCAGATCCAACGAGTCGTGGGAGAAGAGATCCTGATACGTCTCCAACGTATCTATAATTTTTGATTGCTCTATGCTATATTATCTACTGTTTTGGATATTATTGGGCTTTATTATCCATTTTTACATTATTTTTCGGACTAACCTATTAACCGGAGGCCCAACCCAGAATTGCTGTTTTTTTGCCTGTTTTAGGGTTTCGAAGAAAAGGAATATCAACCGGAGTCCAAACGGAATGAAACCTTCGGGAACGTGATTTTCTCAACGAACAAGACCCAGGAGACTTGGACCCTACATCAAGAAACAAAAGAGAAGGCCACGAGGTAGGGGGCGCGCCTACCCCCCCAGGCGCGCCATCCACCCTCGTGGGCCCCCTGTTGCTCCACCGACGTACTCATTCCTCCTATATATACCTGTTGGGGAACGTAGCAGAAATTCAAAATTTTCCTACGCGTCACCAAGATCTATCTATGGAGAAACCAGCTACGAGTAGAAGGAGAGTGCATCTACATACCCTTGTAGATCGCTAAGCGGAAGCGTTCAAGTGAACGGGGTTGATGGAGTCGTACTCGTCGTGATTTAGATCACCGATGATCCTAGTGCCGAACGGACGGCACCTCCGCGTTCAACACACGTACAGCCCGGTGACGTATCCCACGCCTTGATCCAGCAAGGAGAGAGGGAGAGGTTGAGGAAGACTCCATCCAACAGCAGCACAACGGCGTGGTGATGGTGGAGGAGCGTGGCAATCCTGCAGGGCTTCGCCAAGCACCTACGGGAGATGAGGAGGTGTCACGGGAGGGAGGGAGGCGCCAAGGGCTCAGGTATGGATGCCCTCCCTCCCCTCCACTATATATAGGGGCAAGGGAGAGGGGGGAGGCGCAGCCTTGCCCCTTACTCCAAGAAAAGGGTGCGGCCAAGAGGGGGGGAGGACTCCATCCTCCCCAAGGCACCTCGGAGGTGCCTTCCCCCTTGAGGACTCTTCCCTCTAGGGTTCCCTAGGCGCATGGGCCTCTTGGGGCTGGTGCCCTTGGCCCATGTAGGCCAAGGCGCACCCCCTACAGCCCATGTGGCCCCCCGGGGCAGGTGGCCCCACCTGGTGGGCCCCCGGGACCCTTCCGGTGGTCCCGGTACAATACCGATGACCCCGAAACTTGTCCCGATGGCCGAAACAGGACTTCCTATATATAAATCTTTACCTCCGAACCATTCCGGAACTCCTCGTGACGTCCGGGATCTCATCCGGGACTCCGAACAACATTCGGTAACCACATACAAGCTTCCTTTATAACCCTAGCGTCATCGAACCTTAAGTGTGTAGACCCTACGGGTTCGGGAGACATGCAGACATGACCGAGACGTTCTCCGGTCAATAACCAACAGCGGGATCTGGATACCCATGTTGGCTCCCACATGTTCCACGATGATCTCATCGGATGAACCACGATGTCAAGGACTCAATCGATCCCGTATACAATTCCCTTTGTCTAGCGGTATTTTACTTGCCCGAGATTCGATCGTCGGTATCCAATACCTTGTTCAATCTCGTTACCGGCAAGTCACTTTACTCGTTCCGTAACACATCATCCCGTGATCAACTCCTTGGTCACATTGCGCATATGATGATGTCCTACCGAGTGGGCCCAGAGATACCTCTCCGTTTACACGGAGTGACAAATCCCAGTCTCGATCCGCATAAAACAATAGACACTTTCGGAGATACCTATAGTGCACCTTTATAGTCACCCAGTTACGTTGTGACGTTTGATACACCCAAAGCACTCCTACGGTATCCAGGAGTTACACGATCTCATGGTCAAAGGAAGAGATACTTGACATTGGCAAAGCTCTAGCAAACGAACTACACGATCTTTGTGCTATGCTTAGGATTGGGTCTTGTCCATCACATCATTCTCCTAATGATGTGATCCCGTTATCAACGACATCCAATGTCCATAGCCAGGAAACCATGACTATCTGTTGATCACAACGAGCTAGTCAACTAGAGGCTCACTAGGGACATATTGTGGTCTATGTATTCACACGTGTATTACGATTTTCGGATAATACAGTTATAGCATGAATAAAAGACTATTATCATGAACAAAGAAATATAATAATAACTTATTTATTATTGCCTCTAGGGCATATTTCCAACAGTCTCCCACTTGCACTAGAGTCAATAATCTAGTTCACATCGCCATGTGATTAACACTCACAGGTCACATCGCCATGTGACTAATACCCAAGAGTTTACTAGAGTCAGTAGTCTAGTTCACATCACTATGTGATTAACACTCAATGAGTTCTATGTTTGATCATGCTGCTTGTGAGAGAGGTTTTAGTCAACGGGTCTGAACCTTTCAGATCCGTGTGTGCTTTACAAATCTCTATGTCATCTCCTAGATGCAGCTACCACGCTCTATTTGGAGCTATTCCAAACAACTGTTCTACTTGGAGCTATTCTAAATTATTGCTCCATTATATGTATCCGGTCTCTCTACTCAGAGCTATCCGGATAGGTGTCAAGCTTGCATCGTCGTAACCCTTTACGACGA